GTGGTCCCGCTTAGAATTCAAAAAGGCACTTGGACTCAATCGGTTTACTGTTCGACCTCTCTCTTTTCTCTCATTCCTTTCAATGTGTTTTAGCCCATGTGGACCCCCGGATGACGTGGCCCATTACTTTCGAATTTTTGAGAGTTGGGAGCCGCTGCAATATTGCAATTGATTTGAGAGAGATGAGAGAAAAGAGAGAGATCGAACGACAAAGTGTTTGAGCCCATGTGGTCCCGCTTGGAACTCAAAAAGGCACTTGGACTCAATCGGTTTACAGTTCGACCTCTCTCTTTTCTCTCATTCCTTTCAAAGTGTTTGAGCCCATGTGGAGCCCCGGATGATGTGGCCCATTTCTTTCGAAAATGACAGAGGCTACTCGAACGTTCGGCCGGACATTCACGTTTAAGTCCCGGTCGTGAATCCCGGAACGAATCATCGTCCTATAATACGATATGTTCAAGTATTAGAACCGATTTTCGTTCGCAGACTTGGTATTACTTATGCCACGTCGCGCACCACATCGTCCGAATGGCCGCCAACGTAGCACTCAAACCCTAAAATGTTCGGACGGTAAGTAACAGCTATAAAAGCTGGAAATTAGGTTTTTACCAGGACTCGTTTTGCACAACATTAGGTTTTTCTTGATCTAAGAGTCCGTCGGCCACTTTTTAGGGTTTCATTCAACGACATGGAAGACGAGGACTTTGCTCAATTCAGTCAAGATGTTGAGTCACTGTCCCTCGGTCCATCTGAGAAATTACAGAAACGACGCAAAGTGATACTATCACAATCAGACAGTGAGATGGATGTTGGAGCGCACCCGGCAACAACATTGCCAATGCTACAGTCAGCTCGGGGATTGAGACTGAATTCACTCGCTTTTATGAGGCTGGATATGCTGTGGCCACCGGATGCTTGACTACCCCAATGGAAATAGGGAAAGGTTAGGAATTTACAACACACAATTTGGGGCCTAAGCTGAAAGTGGCCATTTTTACATTCGACATTTAGTAATCACCAATGCAGAAATGGCTTGCTGCACCACCATGGGCAGATACGAATGATTGGCTACTTTCTGAAAAGTCGTTTCAAAAGAACTCTTTGAACATGTGCAGATGAGGCAGGCCAAGTCAGTGAGGATTTGGAGAATGATGACGTTGAGTTCCGTCCAAGATCATCTGGACCTGCGGATTCGGACGGCTCTGAAAATGACGACAGTGGAGAAGATGAAATGTTGGACAATGAGAGGCATCAACTTGAAAGAGAGGTCAGACTCTGGAGGAATGCCCCTTCTAGCAACCACATCCCCCAAGTCCACCGGGAACAAATCGTTTTCAAGATTACAATATGTCTAAGTATTAGAATGGTTTTTTGTTCCCGAT